ACGAGTAAAGTCCTAGAAAATCATCCATCATGCCTTATACTAAAGACATTTATTCTAAAGATACCTCTCATTACCAGACAGATGAGGGTCAGCTGTGTAATAAGGCAGAAAATGGAAATGGAGTAATTTAAAAGATTGGCCCTGTATGAGGTTGATGTCGGATATGAGTGAATGTGCTCTACAGTGGAAGAGAAGGGACGGAAAGAAAAACCTGAAAGAACACCAGGAGAGGGCAGTGGATATTAGAAGACTCCTGGAAAACGTGTTAAGATGTCCAATCATGGCTCTCTCTATGGATTCAAAAAGGAGCATGTTGCACACCACCATCAGTGATGGCACAGTAGGTGTTTTGCCTTTTTAGCGGCCAGTGAAAAGCACCTGCTGTGACCTCACTGATTGGGATGAAGAAAGAGAGGGATGTTGAAAGTTTCAGCTCATAGAGAGGAGCGCAGAGGAAGTCATGATACAGTTTCAACAAGTTCTCAGTACTGTACAAAGAGTGTATGATTCTTTTTAGCAATTCTATTTTTTTTTATTGGTGTCATCAAGGTCGTTAATGTGAAAATTCCCTCGCAACGAAGCTATTTTTTAAACAAACAAGCTACAGTAACACACTATAAAAATACTGCATCACAAATAAAAGTCACACATTTAATTGTTCATCAAAAGGAAAAGTACTCATTATGCAGAATGGCCTCAGTGTAATATTATTATACAATTGGATCATTATTATTGTTGTATTAATATATAAGTGGTACTTTAATGTTGCACTTATTATACTGCTGGGTAATCTATAACAATGCAGAAAATCTATACCTGATACATGAATAGTGGAGTAAGAGGTATATTTTAGTAGAATAAAGTAGCCTAAAATGGAAATACTCAAAGTGGGCTGCATGTACTTCAAACCTGTGCTTAACTACAGTACCTATGTAAATGCGTATTATATAAGTTATATAATAGCCTAATTATAATTACGTAATTGTATATTATTTTGTTTTTCTTATCCTTATTCTGTGGTGGTGTTGCTTGCATTTTTTTTATTGTACTGATAGCATATTGTCAAGAATTTGCTCTTCAAGTTGCTGCAGCCTTTCTACACATTGTTTTCTGTAATAACACTTTGAAATACAACTTTGTTAAACTCCCATCTTCAACTAACAATGTAACTACGGCATGAATTAGAAAATGCTACTTAGAAGCTCATTGGCTCTTTATATGGTCCAGATAATTCGAGAACACCAGTCCTCACTTGTGATTGGCTGTTGAATTCTACCCGGCTAAGGTTTGCATACGTTACAGCTGCTCACCTGTGACTGCTTTACATTACATTTACACGTACATTAAGATTTATCACCGGAAATGGTCAGTAATTGGCTACTTAAATATGTAATTATCATAACCTCTAACTGTTACTTTATTAGAGTAATACTTTCAAGGAAAATTTAAGCCTGCCCAGATACATGATAATACTGTGGAGTATAAAACACCTATGTTATATAAGCGAGCGGCTGAGGAGCTCATTGGTCGCCGTAGAGCTGTGTTTCAGTGTCTGTGGTAAAGTCTGGTGTGAGGAGGCATCTGCCTTGATGAAGCAGAAATGTATTCCTTTTTTATGTGACTGTTTCTGCCATATTTTTTAAAACGTTTTTGATCGTTTCTTGTCACCCGATGGGCTCGTGCGTAACGGCGGTGCACGTCCACAGTTTGAACCCCCTTTAACTTTCTCTCCGGGAAACCCCTCGGGACCACGCAGAGGACTTTCCAGGGGCGCACAGACTTCCAGTCAGCGAGTCCCGACGCGGAGAGAGTGTTTCCGAGAGAAGTAGAAGAAAGGAAGCTTTTTTATTTCCCCTCCTTTTTATTTTTGGGTCGTGGGTGACACTTTACATTTCCACTCTTACTCTAGAGATTTTAAACATGAGCGAGCAGGTAGGGCTTCAGTTTCTTGCGCGAGGACACCTAACCGGGTCGCCCGCGTGCTGATAGGACTCATTGACTCCTGCTGGGATCAAACCTGCAACCTTTTTTTAGTCGGAGCCCAGTCCCCTCCAGCCAATAGACGGCTCTGCCACCCCGAGTCCTCCCACTACAACAACCTGTATCACATCTACAGTATGGATTACTGTACGTTTCACCTCCTGCAAATCCATTTTACAACTTTTCCCGGGGAATGGATTTAATTTGGTCGAAGCTGTGATACCCGCACGTCGCTTATTATGACTTTCATCTTCACACGCCTTCCCGCCACACACTCGTTGGCTTAGTGTTATCGTTTGACACGTTTCTGTTAAGGTTTCAGATACCTTCGTACACTTAAAAAGAGTTGTAGCCTAAATCTCGCCGGCTCTCATGGGACTGAGGCATTCGTCGCGTTGTTTGCTGCTACGGCGGAAGATGGCGGAGGCGGACAGCTCGGAGGTAGGGACCTTGTGATGTCCTGCAACCGGTTATATAGCGGGAGCGGGACAGTCTAAATGTGGTTATTTTGACGCCGACAAAACATTTGACTCGAATATTATGTTTAAATATCTGTTTCTTATCGCCATGGCAGCCACATTTAGAATGAATGTTGCACTGTGATGGCGTGCAGGCAAAGGATAAGTGCATGTCCCGGTGTCCTGCAGATGTCACGGGGATCTTAAGTAGACCGCTGTAATTGCAGTACAGTGATAATGCATGCAGATGGTTTGCGGTTACGTTAAATGATCAGCTTTTGGATGTATGGACGTATTGGACGTGGCTGTGCCCGCTGTCCTTGGTGCTGAAACGGAACCTGCATCTTTTGCCGGCTCTTCTCTGAGTCTGCTGTCTGTGTAAAGGCAAAGACTGTATGCTTTTATGAAAATTTAAATGCTTTTTGAATGATTCCCTTTCGGCTTGCAGTTCATTCAAGCAGACTCAGTCTGCCTCTGTTAACCCTTTATTAAAATATATGCAGGTCTTTGAAATTCTACTTGCAGTTCTGTCATTTCCTTCCCTTGAGTCTTCAAACCCTCTGCTTTTTGACTTGTTCTTGTCTTTAATCTATAAATCCTGATATACAGCTCTCCCACTTCTCTTTCTCGTCCCTCCTCACCAGCGGCAACAGCCTGTCACGTCCCCCCTCTCTCAGTCAGCCCAGCCCTCCCCACTGCCTAAACCAGTGCCTACTACCCACCATGTGCCCTGCATCCCCCATACGCCTCATGTAGCGGCCCTGGCCACCTGTCCGGGTCGAGGCAAGATTGCCAAGTTCATCAGCCCGGAGGAGATGACATCACGGGACTACTACTTCGACTCTTATGCCCACTTTGGCATCCATGAGGTAGGCGGGCCAGGCTGACAAATGGTAGCTCAGTACTGACACCAGCTCTGTCTAACCTGATGCTGTTTTACTTGCCAAGTTGTTTCAACCCTGTTAGTCTCAGCAGGATGTGTGAAAAACTGTGGCTGATTTAACACTAACAGACTTCCGTGGACAGATAGGCTTTGATTTTGGTAGTGATCCAAATCTTCTTTCTGGCATAGATGATGTTTTATCCATAACTAAGAAGCTATTGCATACAGACAATTGATTCCAAATGCTTGGTTCGTTGGATCTGGAAATCCATTGTAAAGTAGCAGTAGAAGAGAGAAGTCGAAGCCTAAAACAACTGCTAAAAACAACAAAAAACAAAGAACCAGAAGTCAATACAAGCTATGAGACCTCAGTCTTCCTGCGCTTTTAAAAACGAGTTTCCACCAACAAAGTATCCTAATGGCATCAAAAATATGGTAACACGAGCATCTCTCAGAAAATATCCAAATTTGATGTAATTATTTCTGGAAAAAGTAATAAGAAATAAACAATAATAACCCCAACAATAAACCCCAAAGGCATCATTCCCCTTACAAACAACACAACAAGAATGATATTTTGCGGGGAAACAGAGAGTTGCTGAATTCTCTGCATTAGTGGTGAGTGTCTCCTGGCTGACAAATGGGGAGGCTTTTCCATTACCAACTGGCACTAAAGACACCAGATGCATGGTAATAGTCCACGTGCAGCGCTCCATAAATGAACACAATCTGTGTCCGTGTTTTACAGTCATCTACAGTGAACTGCTAAATAAAGATTGCAGAGCTTTACCCTAACTAATGACCTTGATCTGCGAAGGAGTGGCGGTGGTGGAAAAGTTTGGGGACATATAGACCTTTTTAAATGTCCATATTTAGCATGTGGGTCAGGTTTTTGTCCGCTTGCAGACAAAGAGAGTGTCCTGATTAGAGGAGTGCAAAGCAAGAAAGACGGAAAGTGGGATGTGTGAATGGGTTCAGGGAGATGGATATCAGGTGGTCCCCAAAGGCTTTATGTTGTACTCCTGTCTATTTCAAGAAGCACTGCCACTGTCACTGAGGCTTTTGGCCTAAATACTGCCTCATCTACCTCATTATACGTTAAAAAATTATTTATTCACAGGCTGAAGAAAATACGCAGCTGCCAGCTTTTATCAGAATGTACACACATTTGTATTTTCCTTATGTAACATTATGTGCATTATGTATTCCTGTGAGGATTAGGTAGTCAGTTCAGTATAGAAACTATAGTGGTGTGCATGTTATTCATTATGTATCACAGCTGTGCACTTATAGTTTTGTCTCTAATTCAAACAGGAGATGCTGAAAGACGAGGTGCGGACGCTGACCTACCGAAACGCCATGTACCACAACAAGCATGTGTTCAAAGATAAAATCGTCCTGGATGTTGGTAGCGGCACAGGGATCCTCTCTATGTTTGCTGCCAATGCCGGCGCCAAACACGTGTATGGGGTGAGAGAGATAGACGCGCCCTTTGACCACAAACAAACAAACAAACACTCCACCGTTTAAATTCGTCATTATAATGATCTAGCAGCGCCTGCTTTTGTTTAAACCTTTGTGAGAGAGAAAAGCTGCACACCCTGTCGGTGTCCAAATGAATATCATATCTGGCTCCGCCGTCACATTATCTCTCATCCGTGGCCTTTCCTTCCCCCCCAAATCATGTGCACCTTGCCTTTTTAAAATTCCTAGCATCTTGTCTTCAGTCCAGAAATGGATAATCTTACACAGAGAGGCAATAAGAGACATCTGGCTCCCCTTAGAGCAGGGCTGTAAGTCACAGGTTATACATTATGGCAGTGTCTCCTACAGTTACGTATAATCCATATACTGTATTACACTTATGGATGAGCAAAATGATGTATTAGTCGTCATGCTGCACAGGGTCTGAGGTGAGCGATAAGGGACATTACTGTTAAAATGGATTAGCAGGGTTTGATTAAATTTGTCCTTCTGATATTACCCCAAAGGTTAACCTGCTGTATATGGGGAGGGAGGCTAACCTATAAACAACATAGATACTGCAACAAACATTCTGCGGGGTCTTGATCGGACCTCTGGTTTTGTCTTTGTGCCCACAGATTGAATGTTCAAGTATATCTGAATATTCAGAGAAGATCATCAAGTCAAACCACCTACACAATGGTAAGCTGAAGTGGTTCTGCATTACTGCTATATATCTTACATCCATCTGTCTGAGTGCAGAACAGTGCGATGACATCTGGATTAGAAGTAGCGTGAAAAATCTGCATATTTCCATCATTGCCGTCACACCCGACAATGTTAGTCACAGTTCTGATGGTTAACTGGCAGCTCGCCTCTGATGTCAAACAACCGTAATCTCTGCCATCAATCAGAATCCCCTCAGTGGTGATGATTACCATTGTAAAGTGCCACCCTGAACTTCACAGATGGAGGACTGGCAACAGATGGTGGGTTTCATAACCTGCACATATTTGGTATTATTTTTGTTTCATCTGTTGTATTTACATTGCTGGCATTTAAAGCTGATGGTCCTTTGCTACATCTTTAAGGTGTTTGAGTTTGAGAAAAAGCTAGTTTACAAAGAAAGTATCTGCACATTATATGCATTCATTTTTCTTGCACATTAAGTTTTTCTCTGTTTAGTAATATGAATAATTCAGCACTATACATACAAACACTATTATCATTTTACACATTTTCCCCTTTTAGGGTAGTCTATCATTTGCTTCCAGTTCTTTTCTTAAATTATTAAAACATACAGTATTTTACACATTTTACAATTGTACCAGATGATGCTGAACTCCCTACTGTATTCCATCTATTTTACTTTGCCGTGTTTTCCACTTAGTATCTTAATATCGTAGGTCAAAGAGGCCAGAATGGAAAACAAGACAAACCAAAGTCATGCATAAAACAGGGGGTGTCGTGCGAGGAGCGCAGTAATTATGCCGCACTAATTTACGGCAATCCCAAGGCATAAAAACAGTGTCATCTGAGAATAGAGTCATTGTTCGATTTGCATTAATGTGATGAAGATGCCATGTAGTAATCTGTTGCCTGCTGTTTTGCGGCTCTCCACTCCGCAGTCATTACCATCTTCAAGGGCAAGGTGGAGGAGGTGGAGCTGCCTGTGGAGAAGGTGGACATTATCATCTCAGAGTGGATGGGCTATTGCCTCTTCTACGAGTCCATGCTCAACACCGTCATCTTCGCCAGGGACAAGTGGCTGGTACGACGGTGCTGCTGGAGGCTTGGGGAGGGCTGGGGTTTAGTGTGTGTGTGTGTGTAGCTGGCTGCCGGACAAATAAGGCTTTTGACACATAAACACAGCAGACAGTGATGAAGTAGAGGATTTACTGTACGCTTTTTGCTGCATGTGTCTGCTGCTCAGATGCTGAGGTCACGCGTGAATGATATGGTTCCCAACTCAGCACATGTGATCTTATATTACATGCCAGGTGTGCGAACAATAAAGGTGATGGATGACCTTGGTGTGTGATTCATGAAACTTTTCTTGTATTCAGAAACCCGGAGGCCTGATGTTCCCCGACAGAGCAGCTCTCTACGTGGTAGCCATTGAAGACAGGCAGTACAAGGACTTCAAGATTCATTGTGAGTAATTATAGCAGATTCGTTAGCTTTTTCTCTCACTCTCTTTTTGCTAAGTCATTGCTTTCTTCTGTCTCTCTCTGTCTCCCTCTCAGCTGTGCAGTGCATAATTAATGACCACCATGCAGATGAAGTAAAATCAAACTCAAGTTAGATTCGAAATAGTATAGTTCCATTTTCTAATTCTTTATAAAAAGCTGGTAGCATACACTGGGTTTATTAGAGCTTTTAGCTGAAAACATGTGCCTGTGTCTGATGAGAGAAGTGAGACTTATTCAAAGCATTAAAGTTGTGGACCATAAAACCAAAACAATGAGCTAGAAGACGCTAAAATGTTCCATAGAACTGAGTGGAACTAGCGAGCCTAGCGTCACTATGAGTGACCAATCTTACATTGCACACAGTCATTTGATCTATTGTTATAAAAATTATTAATTAAAGCAGCTTTAAGGCTTTACTCACCAGCAATAAGCCATTAATAAGGACAACATTCAGGTTGCTAGGTTGTGAAAAATCTGTTTGGCTGATGTATTACTGCGAGAAATGAGTAAGTCATAAATAAAAGGTCATGGGTTTGTCACATTTTAATGAGCCATCAGGTCTGTAGTTATTAATATTAGTCAATAATAAAGAGTTTCTAAAAAGTTTAGGGTTTACAGCAGCCAAAGGGATTTTTACAACCTAGCAACCCAAATGATATGTACATATGGCTTGTTACTGGTATATTAACTCATAAGAAGTATGTATTAACCCATTAATAAAGCCATTACTTTGATTATAGAAACTCTGTGTAAATGATGTCTTATTAGAAAGTAGTACCAAAGGCATTTAAACCAGTGAGGTGCCTTTATAGTTATCACAGCAGGAGTGCTGAGCTTAACATTGTGATCCAGATCAAAGCAGTAATATTAAAAGTGCCATTCACACTTGGACTCAGACACCAAATCTGGGTTAATAACTCCTACTGAGTTTCCTTTTACTGCACAGGTGGCCCTCTCTGTTCTATTACATACATACTTTCACATAAATCCCAAAAGAATTCAGTCAACCCAAACCCTCACACTCTTATTTTTAGTTTCTCTCTGCGTTGGTGGCATATTCCACCTTCTCATCGTTCAGACTTAGTGCTTGGCCCCCTGACAAAGCAAGGTGGAGTGAAGGGACAGAGGGAATGGGGGAGGAAAAGCCTGCTTGCTGTGTTTTTTAGTCCAAATTATAATAAATAAAATAAAAAAGCCTGCCAGACATGGCGGAGGAGGTGGAGGAGGCCGGAGTCTATTTTCAGGAGGGCTTGTCTTTCTCCACATCGGAGCTGGATAGACAGAAAGACAGCGTGAGCACAGGACTGTTTTTCCTGGCAGGGTTAAGCGCTTTGTTTTTACTTTCTCTGCTACCTTTTTTTCATGCTGAGGGCTTGGCAGCAACAGAGAACAGACCTTTGCAAGCGTATGAAAATAAAGAAAGTTAAAGTCCCAAAAAACACATAGTGTACAGTACACCATGTATTTGTATTCATATGGGTGCTCTACTTCAGATGTTTCTGTTGTGTGTACGCGCAGGGTGGGAAAACGTGTACGGGTTCGACATGAGCTGCATTCGCAATGTGGCCATCAAAGAGCCTCTGGTGGATGTGGTAGATCCCAAGCAGGTGGTGACTAATGCCTGCCTCCTAAAGGTTAGTCTATGTCCTTGTTCACGATGAAGGAGTGTGAACATACCTCAAGCCTTTCATGACATATTCTTTTTTACCTTCAAAAATCTGTTTGTCAACTTTTTCCTTCTCCTACCAAACCACATGAATTTCTAAAATAAGTCAGAGACAGCTATCAATCCCAAAGCCCCTGAACATTTCAAGTCTGCTGAGACTATTTTCTAGTGCATTATAGAGGTTTGTGGAGAGCTGTAATAGTCTGCGGCTCTGTATTCATGCTTGAAGATACAACAGTGGCTTCTCTTTCATCTCTCAAATGAACAGGAGATAAGGGCAGTCAGGGTGGCAGTAGCTTCTTCCTTTGTCCCCTTCCATCTCCACCTTTCTTTTCATTGCTTTTCCACTTCCTTCTCTCTGCTTTTCAATTCTGAGTATCTGATATCTTCATTCCTCTTCATTTCTTTTGTCTCATATCATTTTGTATTCTCATTTCTCACTCTACCCCTCTCACGTCTTCTTACCCTTCATCTTCTGTCACATTCTCAGATTTAAACAATGTCAGGCCTCACTAGTCTGAGTGAATAGGGAGGTTTAACTCCGTCTCCCCCTCTGTGCGACGGTGATGAAATGTCACACAAGAGTAGGCATTGAGTCACCAGTGGGGATGAATTGGGTTCCCCATCCTTTTGTGTTCAAAAAGGTGATTTGTGTGTTACGTCGGAGGTTAATTACTAGTTAGTAAGTGACATGCTGGTCTGAAAATTAATTCTCACTGGCTGTATCTCTTTCACGTGTATGTATTCAGGACTTATTCACCCCTTCCCCAGTCTTAATTCAAACTGCCACTCATTCCTCACATGCTAAAATTACAAAGTCGCTCCCAGGGACTTTTTTTTCTCTCCTCCTACAATTTGCTGTATATGATACTGGCCTTGTGTCATTGGAAAGGACAGAGGTGTTAAATCACAATCTGTCATGCTGACGGCACATGGCCGAGCACTCCATAGCCCAATAGGCCCGGGCGAGATGAACAGGTTGCAGTGTAAAATCCCCCCACACGTCCTCATAAATACAACATCATCTACATGCAAAGCAGAGACACACCTGCTCCACTCCTATTTTGGACCCACAGTGACGCCTGCCAGCTAACAAAATGTGATACTTGAATTTTAGGCCATATTCATAAGGCAGTGCTTGATATAGACACGAGCAAATCCACACAGACTGTGTGTTCACTCACACACACAGACACACGCACAGCCTCCCTCCCTTGTAGACTGGAGGGAGGACACCCACACAGCATGTGTACTGTGAGCAGGCTTCGTTTGCCAGCCGTGATTCAACCTGTGGGCTTTCACACACGTACACTCACACATGCACAATAATCATGGTGAATAATCAAGAGGGACTGACATATACATGTACTGCATGTGTGTGAGAGATGGCAAGTGGGGGTGACAGCTTGTGTCTGTGCTTGTACATGTGAAGTGCTGTTTCACTGTGCTGCTTGTCACACATGACATTTCATGAATGGAAAAGCGGCGATATCTATTGAAAGCATTATTTAACATACAATCTTTTTTCCAGGAAGTGGATATTTACACTGTGAAGCCAGAGGACCTGTCCTTCACCTCAGCCTTCTGTCTGCAGATCCAGCGCAATGATTACGTCCACGCCCTGGTCACCTATTTCAACATCGAGTTCACCAAGTGTCACAAGAAGACTGGCTTCTCCACTGGTGAGGTTGATTTTCTTACTTTCTAGCGGTGTCTAGACACACAGTAGCCAGATCTTATGAAATATTTCTGGTTGGGCCAAGAGTAAGTCAATCAATTTCAAAGCAATAACAGCAATAACAGCAAAAGAACACAACAACAGTGTTGCCTGGCACTATGTCATCTACGCTGTTTCACAAAAATCATCAAATATGAATGGTTTTATGCAGCTCTACATAATTTATGTACCCATGAATGGTAAAGTATATAACAAAAGGACATGGGTGAATTCATATAAATGATTAAAGGTGAAAGGCAAAAGACAAAACAGCAGAATTCTTTTCTCTTGATAATTCACAAGTGTTGTGATCAGCTTTTATTGGAACTACTTTCTACCAAAGAACTGGCACTCAGGAAAGTGTGGAAAATGGTTCAGTGAGGCAGAAATCCCAAAAATTGAGATGAGAAATACTTTTATTTATTATTTAAGTGAACCAACCCTTACTGTCCACCGAAGACATCATTACAATTTTGAGAATTTAAAAAAGGGCACATAAAAGCACAAGAGTGCAACCAGTAGATTAAGTTTTCACACTCTCGCCTGCCCTACAGCGAAATATCCAGCAATTATTCCAAAATTCTTTTGAAATCTTTGAGCAGTAAAATCAATGTCCATTAAAAGAAAAAAGCTACTGCACCTCAGCATCTTAGCTCTCGGCTACACTCTGCTGGTGTTACGTGAGCCGACGGAATCACCAAGCACTTCTGGTAACGCGGTGTTGAGGACGCCTATTATAAAAAGGGTAGCTAAGCTGTTATGTAAGCTTATGGTAATACATTTATGCATCCAGTGCTTACATAATGTGTAGAGGAGGTTCTATGTTTGGCTGAGTCTGTTGGGCCTGAGGCTGAGCGTCACCGAAGGACTTCTCTCCTATCAGCCTCTGTACTTCTCCCACTGAGTGAGTGAGTTTCAGCCACTTCGCTGTTAAATTTCTTCCATGGTAACATGCTCAAGGGAGCTGAGTGCCCATTGAAACCAATACATTTTGTAAAATGTATCATTTCTTACCCTCCCTATAACTTTTCTTGCCTCTTTTCTTCCTCTGCTTTACTCCTTTCTTCTTCAACCTCCTTACATCTTATCTTCTCCCCTTTCTATATCATGGTTCTTTCCCCATTCCTTTTCCTGTTTTCCCTTTTGCTCATGCACATATACGCCCCTCCACTTCTCCTATCCTCTACCTCAGCTCCAGATGCTGCCAGCACACACTGGAAGCAGACAGTGTTTTACTTAGAGGACTACTTAACAGTCAAGAAGGGAGAGGAGATCTTTGGCAGTGTTGCTGTCCGTCCCAATGAGAAGAACGTGGTAAGACTCAACAAACTGGCGCAAAATACTCAATAGTTACGATTTAAACAGTTCGACGGTGGAAAAGTTTTACATTTTGTTTTTTTTATTCACCTTCAGGCAGAGAGTTAAATGAGAAGACTCCACATACCACTGTCATATGTCTCCATTAAATATAAAGCTACAACCAGCAGTGGTTTAGCTTCGTACAATGACTATATATAGCTAGCCTGGCTCCATCCAAAGGTAGAAAAATCTGCCTACCAGCACCCCTAAAGCTCACTAATTAACACATTACATCTGCTTTGTTTAATCCGTACAAAAACCAAGTGTAAAAACAACCATTTGCTGTTTTACGGGGGGGTTATGTGCCTTACTATTTATTGGCTGGGACCAGTTGCCAGGCAACCGGCAGAAATTCCATCTGAAGGTGTATTCACATTAACATGGAAAAACTGCTTTTTGCGTGCGGTGAGCCGAAAACTAATCAGCCTGCTCGTGTTTCTGCATTTCTCAGAACTGTACATAAACTGACCTGACAAAAAAGACCCTGTTTGTTTGCCAAAATATCAGCATGCAGATGCAGCTACCAGGTTTGCCACAGAAACACTGTCTGAGTCTCTGAAACAAAGCTACAACTGCTAGCAACGTTTGCATTGGAGCTAAGGTGACTCCATTTAGTAGCAGTACGCTGTAATGTGAACACGCCATAAGAAATAGTTCAGATTTTGTTACCTTTTAGACAGAGCAAGGCTAGCAATGTCCATTCCCATTCTTTAGGCTAAGCTTAGCTAACTGGCTGCTAGCCGGTAGCTCTAATATGAGTACTATCAATCTTCTCAGGGTAAGCCTCTGTGCCAGAGAGCGAAATAACGCCATGTTCTAAAAAAATGTCGCACTGAGTTCCTTTAACTAAAAAGGGGATTACTTGCAAAATAAACTTGAAGTACAGAAAGTAAGTAAAAAATCTTTATCTATGGCAGAAAATTGTCCTTGAGAGTATTATACTATTACACATATTAAACATTATTATTACTCATGTATTCATTTGTAAATATTCTGCTGTAATTGCTGTCGTGGTAGTACACAAGTCAATGTACTTAATTTAATTGCATTCAAATAGCTTTTAAGTACACGTTTTGTTTTCTGTGAAAGTTTTGTTTTGTTTGGCCATTTTTTCTACTAAATGGATATTTCTGCAATCAGTTTCTTAATTAATAAAAATCGTTTTACCTTTTGTAGCGTGACCTGGAGTTCACCCTGGAGCTGGACTTTAAAGGACAACTTTGCGAGGCCGCCATTTCCCACGACTATAAAATGCGTTAGGAGGACCAACAACCAATCAACTACCCTCAGCCCTTCGGGACCCACTTGGAGATGAGGCGGGTAAGGGGGAGGGGCGCACAGGCTCTCCAACAAGCATTCCAGTTGGCCAGCGAGGGCGACCAGATGCATCTGATTGGATGCCATCATGCCAGCACCAAAGTGATGTCATCAGAATAGGTATCTATCAGCAATAGTGCCATCACCTGTACCAACCTGATCGACTCGGGCACATCGTTGAATGTAACATCCTAAACGAACTTGATTTATTTATCTCTCACTTTCTGGAAATGTTATTTTGAGTATAAAACGAAAAGCATTTGTGAGTCTTTATATTGTTCGTGCAGCTAATTGAAAAGCATTGATCTGCGTGATGTTGAGAGGGTTACAGCACAGTCATTATCCGTTTTTTCTTCAGTTATTTAAGATTTATTACGCACTGTGTAATTGTATAGAGGGTACAGTAATCAATTGTGTTTTATTTTATTTATTATTTGCATGTGAAAGTTTTTTGCTTCATTGATTTCAGAAAGATGTGAAATGTAATTTATTTCTTCAATTGAGGATTATTCAGAGCAACAGTGCTTTGGTGCCAGAATAAAACAGGACGATGCCTCAGTAACAAACACAGATGCAATATGTCATGTAACACTTTGTTTTGGAGAACAGACAAACAAAGAATATGAAAAAAAGATGAACACGATGATGAATAAAATGTTAAAGAATTACGACTGAATTTTCTCACATTTTTTTATATTAAACAGCTATTTTAAGGAATTCCAAATAATTTTGTTGTAGTTTTAGCTTTGACATTAAATATAACTACATTAACATATACTAGCCCAGACAAATACAGAGGAATTAAAACTGGAAAGCTAACATTAAGTTGTGAAAAAAGCTACAGTATATTTATGATTTGTCTCTTGAAAGTCATTATAATACAGAATATGTTCCGATTCTAAATCTTAGAGAGAACTACAGTGATTTGGCAACATTTACAGAAAACGACGCAGCATCTTATTTTTTGCCTTTAGACAATCTCCTCCTCTGAACCTCATCAATTAAGTTCATTAAGACAGTAGGTTATATGCTCACCAACCTTCGTGTCGACTTGAACATGTTGTACATTTCGGAGGGACAAAATGAAGTCATACAATGTCATTCTGTGATAAGGTCCGAGAATGATTTCATTGTTGTCTTCAAACACTGCAAATCCAATGTCCAAAAAGAACTCAGTAAATTGAGTATAAACTTCACTTGCAGCAGGCTTTCTTCTTTATCGGCTGAGCACTGAGGATGACTGTTGCGTCTCTCACCTTGTCCTCCTGATCCATTAACACTCTGAGTAAAGACAGAGAGAGATAACTCTGCATGAGCAAATCATTTTTCCTGACGAGAGCTAATAAGAACAAAAGGCCATCTGCCATTTTTATCATGCATCTGATGGCAGCTGTACAGTGTCTGCTTGTTTCCCTTGACAGCTGTTTCTGTTTGATTCACCGCCTTGATCTTACCTGGCCAGGTGTGTCAGGGACTCCGTCACATTCTTGGCAGTGTAGGCACTGACCTCAAAGAACATCACTTTGTTTTCCTGCGCAGGATATGCACAGAGAGTCAAGAAATGAATCACACTGGGTGGCCGTGATCAGAACTGTTGGCATCTGTGTTTTTACTAGCATGGGCATGGAGCTGCCCCATTTCACATCAAAAGGATTTCGGAGCTTTCAATTAAACTCACGTGGGCCAGTTGCTCAGCTTCTTTGAATGACACCTCCCTGTCTCCATCCATGTCCATTTTGTTGCCCAAAAGGAGGATGGGGATGCCTTCTCCCGCTGCTTCCTGAAAAAGAGGAGCCCGTGATTTAGTACAGGCCATTTTTCACGGAAGACATTTTGACGTCTAACAGTAGGAAGCATAAAATGAACAATGTCAGGGCTCGCTGGGTCACTTGAATAGAGCAGGGCCATTGTTATTGATATCAGTAACAGCTGTTCTTTCCCTACTATCTTTGAAAAGATTTATTGAACTAAACTAAAAATGTTCAGCTACTGCAAGTGATAATACAAAAAAACCTCCAAGAAGTAGTGCAGTATTTTAAGAAGACTTCAAATGATATAAACCCGATATGGGCTCCCAGTGTTTGATAAACGCCTGTAACGTCATAATCTGTACACATGAAGAAAACAAGAGTTGCAGAGGACTTCCTTGGGTCAAAGTTCAGACCTGGACATTGGTGAGCCAGGGTTGCACGGCCTTGAAGCTCTCCTCCACCGTGACGTCGTACATCACCACCACACCGTCCGCCTTGCGAAAGAACTGCTTGGTTATGCTGCGGTACCTGTGACAAGAGTTTGACTGTCACCACATTGACCTGCTGTACACAACTACTAGTTACGATATACGAAGTGTATAAATAATTAAATATGATAAAAGTACACCAAAATGCTACCATTGTAATATTGTATTCAAAAGATATTTAGACTTTTGGCATGCTACTACATAATAGTACATGAAAATACGCAAAATACGAAAAAATTAATTGTTTCAACTAATCAAATCATACTTTTAAATACTCATTGTACACTATTGTGTGTTGCTATGTAGTGTCCTTACTTATTTTCAGTGGTGGAATGTATTTTCACTCAAGTACAAATTCAAGGAACTATATATGTAAACATTGTACATTTTAATCCACTACATTTGTCTGACAATTTTAGTTACTAGTTATTTTTCAGATTACTATTTTTTATACCCTCACTTGTCCAGTGAAAACATGTATTTCTAAATTTGGTGATAGAATTGACATTTTTCTGATAGTGAAGGATTAAGTGTTCCTTATGTGTTGAGAAAATGATCCTTCTCCTTAAGCTAAATGAACTACTTAATTAAACCTCTTGGATTAGCTGAAAAAATGCATTGTAACAATGTTGAAAACAGGGTTGTTTTTCTGAGCTCATGAAAAGCTTTTTTAGAGATATGTAGTTCTCGTAGGACAGCCACGCTACAAACAGATGATGATCGAATATAGAATAATACAAGAGAATTAGCTCCACCGTAAACAGCTACAACAGTAAAATGAAACATACACATTAATATTAATATTAATCCAAAAACATCATAGTAAAACACTGACAGGGACCATTTTGCTACGCAATGGGTACTTTTACTTTTGATATTTTAAACCTATTACAAGGAGTTTTTAACTAGTTATTAGTCTCAGTTTAATAATGACCTACATAAGCACACCAGACCATCAGTCCCTTTTTCTACATAGTTATTCCTAATGCCTGCCACAAGGTCGAATTCCCCTTGAAATCAATGAAACAGTAAGCAGTGAAAACACTACCGCGTTTGTCCACAGGGGCTGCCAGAATCAACAAAATGTTGTTCCTTGTTGCTGCTTTAAGTAAATTTTTTTTCTTGTAGTAGAGTATTTTCACTGTATTGATACTTTTACTTAAGTAAAGGATTTGAATTCTTCTGCTACCACTGCTTATTTTGTACACTGAAGTACTAGAGGAATAATAGTCTTTAAAGTAATACTGTGAAACACACTTTTAATGTATTTTTCTAGCAATTAAACACTACAAATAATTATGTGCTTAAAATGTACATACTGATATTCAAGTATACTTAAGTATATTACAGTATACTTAATTTTTAATCAGATCAGAATCAGAAATACTTTAATAATAACTTAACTGGGATTACATGACTTTGAGGTGCTGTTATAACACTACAAAACTATGTCCAACTGATTTTTTATTTTATTTATACTCATACTATTCATGTAATATCACATCTATTGATTATATGTTGATTTTGACTTTATTTTCTAGGTGAACTTTCAAATCTTAGTTGTGTTTTAGGTTATACTATCAAATAAATAGAAACTCACCTCTCTTGACCTGCTGTGTCCCAAAGCTGCATGGCTACCTGCATATTGTCCAGGGTTAGTGTCTTCACACTGTAGTCAATACCTGATCAAGAAACAATACACATCAACATAATATACCAGGGATAAATTATTAATTCCTTAGTAGAGGGTTCTTTTGTTAAGTTTCATTGTTTGAATGATAAAATATGTAGCTATACTTCACATATCTAGCTTCAATTTGACTACATTCATTGGTTTTTCACAGAGCAATGAAGACAAAACAGTGGCCACTAGGGGGTCTAGCGAGGCTTAATACTGACTGTGCCTCATTTCAGAGGAGAAGTGGGAGAACAAAGTGGAGATAACAAGGCTCGAGCGAGGGTCGGGAAAGATGAAAGCAAGGAGAAAAATTCATCAGAAGTGACATAATCTGCAGTACAATGTGTGCCAGGGCTCTCAGACAGGCAGTGTGACTTCACAAGCCTTTTCATGTGATGCTAAGTCGCCCTCCGATCTTTCTGTGTAAGCATCCACAAACACACACATACACGCACGTGCCGTTTGAATTCAGCCTTTTGTACATACACACGATGACATATTATTACAATGTCTCTCTTCTCACCCACAGTAGCAGTTGTGGAAGGGTGGAAACGGCCCTCACAGAAGGAGCGGAGCAGGGATGTCTTGCCTACACTCGAGTTCCCAACCAGGACGACTTTAAACAGGCGGTCTGGGACAAACAGTGCTCCTTCTTTTGCCTGCTGAAGAAGATTAAAACACAGGCAATGGCAGAGAGACACAGACAGAAAAATAAATGAATGGCCTCAGCATTAAGTTCTCTACAAGTTCTAACTTGTTTTTGCTCAGATCAAAGCATATTTCAGGCTCCAAAGCCCTGGACATACTTGCTGGGTCTCCTTCCCGACAGGCTGTCCTCTTGGAGACAAAGGTGTCTTTTTCGCGCGGGTAAAACGGGATTTCCTTGCCGGAGGAGCTTCTCCCACCACAGGGACTAGAGGGTGACTAGAGGGTGGGGTGGCAGCCATGAGGACACTGGTTTCAACTTCACTCTGAGCTTCCTCTTCCTCCTCATCGTCCACTTCGTCCTCCTCCTCACTGAGCTGGTGCAGCAAAGGTTGAGGCCCTCCGTGGAGCAGGTGGGCCAGGTGGTCCTCCTCGATTGAGATGACTCGACGGAGGGGCCACCCGTCCGGAGGGGCGTCCAAGACCTCCTCTTCTACCCCAGCCTTCTGCTCAATTTCCACTTTCTTCGCTCTCACTCTGTCTTTCCCCGTCACCCTCTTAGCGGCGGCCATCTTGCCGGGTGATTTTTTGGTCTTTGTCTTCACATCGTGCACTTTGGGCGGAGCAGGGTTGGCGTAACCATTGGCTAAGCCGTAGTTTTTCTTTGCTGCAGGGCGTTGTTGACATGCGGGGGCGCTGTAGGTGGCGGAGGAGGGGTTGTTGTTGGTGGTGGTGGTGGTGTTGGGGGTGTCATCCTCACTGCAGGAGGAGGAAGCAACAAACACGATTTGAAGGTGCTCTATCGGCAAGGCCTCCAGAGACTGGTAGGACCCGTCCACCAACAGTGGGGCTCTTTAAAAAACAGAGGAGAAACAGAGGATATACTGGATCAGTTCACTTGACTGGGATGAAAATCTGGACGCAACGCACGCAAAATGTTAATTTAGTTGATTCTAAGTGTATAGAATCAGATATCCTCTGTTTTTCCTCCATTGATACATGATTTTCACATCACACTGAGGCTGAAATTCTTCTTTGTCACACAGGAAACACTGTGACAGAGATGATTTGTGTTAAAGAGCATTTGGAAGATAAATGAATCACCTTTTCGCCGGCTGGCTGGTGTCATCGAATATGTTGGCGAGGCCCGCTCTCTGCTTCTGCTTCTTTCTGAGTGAAGTTCGAGGCTTATTTAAACAAAAGGGGATGTATGTTTGTGTTACAGAAGTAGTTTATCAATCAGGTAATGCCATGACAGGTGCTACATTAGATCATACATAGATAAGTATACTCACTACACCGCAGCATATGTCTCGCTCGTCTTTTAAATGTTTGTTCATCTCCCTGGGAAAGAAAGAGAAAAGAGAAATGAATGAGAAAGATGGAATCTGCTGTAGAAAAGAAGGCACTGAAGCATAAAAAGCAACCTGAGTCTTGCTTTGTAGCCAGATCTGTGAGGTTTGCCAATTAGGACTGAACCAGAAGCCAAAAGGATTAAAACCAAACCCTTACCAAGGTTAGACATGTTCTCATGGGATGTTCTTATCCTACCTGAGGAGGTCGAGCTGCTTCATGAGACTTTGCTTCTCTCTCTGCAGTCCCTCGGTTACTCTGTACATTTCCCTGAAAGATGACAGAATGACACACGGGTTTATTTTCAAGTTAAAGCTTGGTTAAGGTTAGACTGCGTAAGGGTTAGGCATATCTAGGAAACGCTCGTAAATGACTGAATGTTAATACAAATCACGCTTAAATATGCACAATAGGTGCAGCTACCCACATCTCTTTCTCCTGGTGGAGCCGGGCGGCCTGCTCCTGCAGCATGGTCAGCTGTTCCTGGGCCAGTGCCAGCTCCTGGCTGGTGTTCTCCAGCGCTCGGGACAGCTCGTCGTTGGTCATCTTCAGCTTGACGTTCTCCACGTGGCTCTCCTGCTTCTCGCTGCTCAGCTCGTGGCACTGGTTCTCTAACTGGAGGGAGAGGGAAATATTCACAGGAATGTAAAATGCACTAATGCTGAGTGCATGTACTTAAAGTATATCTACAGTGGAAAGTGGTCTGTATGGCTGCTGTTTAAACCCCTCCCTACAAGGATTAATACAGTCTACCCACTTTACCATAGCCACACACATTCAGTAATATTAGCATTAGTAATATTTTTTAAAATTTAAATATATAATCAAAGTTATTTAACATCTAAATGTGGTTGTGATATAACTCGAGCTATGAGACGCTTTGTTCATACGCGCTCACCCTTCTCTGCTTCTGGAAGAGAAGTTCCAGCTCTTTCTCCTTTGAATACAGTTGGTGCTCGAGGTCCTGGCTGCGCAACTGAAGGCGCTCAGAGTCCTGCACGGCCAGAAGAAGAAGAGGTTAAAAGGTCAAGCGGTAGGCACATGATTTGAGGTTAAAGATCCCCTCCAGACATGTTTTAACAAAAAAATACTCTGCTTTAAACAGTTTAAAATGGTATTTCCACAAAAAGTTTGCGTAATGAAGCTCGTATTTTGAAGTGGAAGGGGAGAAAACAATGTCAGCATGCTGTAAAGAACGGACAATTATTTGTCAGCTGTTATTTTGTTGTTAAAAAGGGGTTTTGCTTCGGTCAGTTTTCTTTCTTTCTAGCTTCCGTACCTTCAGTAGCAATCTGTCTTTCTCGTTTTTGATCTGCGCCTCCATCTCTTCATACAAATGACGGATCTCACTGTCGTGCGTCGCAGCTTTCCTGCAAAGACGAACGGAGAGATCACAATCGCTGAGGTTAATGATGAATCGATGAAAGACGTGCAGTGTGACATGATATAATGTCTAGGAAACAGGACAGCTTTGTTGTCTAGATTGAGATTAAGGTTGTATTATTCCCCCTGTACCTGTAATTACATGTAATAATACACAGCAGCTGAGCTTCGCTTTTCAAAAGAATACTGAGTAGTATTTACATTCCCTCTGACAATTGCTAAGACCCAAACAGCCAATTAGTAAAGTCTAGAGGAATAACAAGTACCATGCAGTGCCATGGGAAAGCCACCATATGCACTAAACCACACGGATTTAAGCTGGAATTTGGCGTGTTGCTCTGCATTTTATTGGAGTAAATCAATATATATTTACCATATACTACTATATACCTCTTAGTGCTTTTTATGTCCCCATCAGGTATAATATTAATGGATTTAAACACCAGCAGAGGGTGGACAGACTTCAGAGCGTGCCTCTAGATTAGTGGTCATTTGACACGGATAAAGAGGTTGCTCTATAGAGAATTACAGGTAAATCCATGCAAACACTCTCAGGCTGCAGGCCAAGCATGGGGCAGGAATATAAACACACACACACAAACCCACTGTTATGTCACTGATTCTTTAGGTAACTAATCAGAGAGAAGACCATTAGCTTGACGTGGAACATTAAGTGCAGTACTTAAACGCTTTAAGTGTGGGAACCAATTGAGAAATGCGGCCTTTTTGACCCAGGATCAACGCTCACTGTTGCAGCAGTAAAGAACACATATCTTTAATACCTGCGTTTCCAATGTAAGCCTCCTTCTATCACACCATATGTTGTTTCCCTTGCCTATTCATACCCTCCCTTCATCTTGCTCTTTTTTTTCCTCTCATATCCCATCTTTCACACTTAAACAGTCACAGTGGGAGGCAATTTCTCGCCCATGAGTGCATGTGTGTCCTGTCCGACTACCTCTGGAGGGCACTCTCCATCTCTTTCTTGTCCTGGTGGGCCTCTTTGATCTGGTGGGTGACCCTGGCCAGGAACTCCTCAAAATTGGACAGGAGGTGAGGCTCGTCTCGCCTGAGTTGGGCCCAAAGACTGCGCACCTCGCCTGGACTGAAGAGAGGGAAAAGGAGAAGACACAAAAAGGAAGATTAGTCAAACAACATGTCAAGTATGGACTACAACTAAAAACAAACTGATAAAAGGTTTACAGTGATTACACTCACTCCTCAAACACATTACTGGCCCCCAGGCTTTCCAGCAGCATGCAGAAGTGCCCCTCTTCTTCGTCTTCCACTGCTGACAGCTTGGCCTCCCATTGGCTCTGATAAAGGGCTTCTTTGGCCCTAAAGACGGGGCTGGGGGCCTGATTTTGGTCATCAGCCACAGAGATCCTCCGGCCATGCAGGAACTGACCTGAGATACACAGCATTTTTTTTAGATCAACATCTCAGTAGCATCCAAACATTAGCTTTAAAACATATCCCACAGTCATGTCTCCGGCACTTGTACAGAGGCACTTGCACTTGTAAGGGAAAAAGATAGTGAATAAATCAGGAGAGTGATATGCACTCCAAAGATAAAACTGGACCTCGGGAAATATATACTAAGACTTTGCAACTTTGGAAATAATAAATAACACATTCTCCTTTAGACAAGTGAAAAGGTGAATTAATCAGTAATAGGAGGCGTCTTTGCTTGATTCAGTACTCTCTGACTTATCATCTTGTGATTTTCACTTGCAGCCAAAGTGGCCTCTGTTTAGCTAAAATTACATAGTCTAGCTTTAAGCAATTTTCAGCCTCAAACACAAACCTGACAGCATAACAGGCATTATTTTCTGTCCAGCGAGTCCACAGGTTCTACTCGATGCCACGATTGACTGTCATTTGCTCCAGGTTAGACTCTGTTTAAGCTTGAGATCAAAGTAAGCTATATGAACCAAGCTAAAGGCCTGTGACAGCAGGACACCTACTGAATCCAGAGGAGAATGCCTCCAGTGTGAGGTAACCAGTGTGGTCTGTATCCAGAGAGTCAAACACATCCTCCAGCTCCTCTGCAGACAGAGGCAGCTCTCTATGGAGCCTCTGCCAGGAAAACATAAACACACAGACACAAGACATTTAAATGCTGTACTAACACAAGAATTATGAGCAATACGAAACACGATACAAAGTTGACTATTAATGTGGCTGGGAGGTAGATTACATTTAATAACGGTATTATTAATATCTAAAAGGAATAAATGTGGAACCTTAAATCTGCCATATCTGGTTTGTATTGTTATAACTCGAGCGCAGAATGAACACTGGCACAAAGTGGCTGTTTTATGTGTCACTGTACGGAGCCTTTCTTGGAAACCCTCAACACAAACAAGAGCACCAAACGGCATGATGCTCACAAGGGCCCTGTCCTAATTAACTGACAACACAGCTCGGACATTGTGAGCATTCTGAAGAGGCTTGTGTGAGTTTTTCTTGCCTGTGTTCTTCATTTCAGCCAGTGAACTGATGCGTATGTGTGTGTGTGTGCTGAACCTATACTCGTAAACATTTCCATCAATGGTGCTATTCTGCCACTTCACCGGCTGTTTGAGAGTGTTGTGTGGGTGGAGGGCTTCTTTAACAATGGTGATATAACATGAACATTTTTTTTTTTTTTAAATCTCAGAAGCAAGTGTTTCCTGCTGTCATTACAGCGCCACAGGACATTAAATTATGCCACAGGTAAAAGCGTGTACTCTTCACCTATTGTCCTTAATGGAGGCTTAATGCATTCGCAGAGCATCCATGCATTTTGGTAGAATATGAGATGAGTATGTAGGAAAAACAAAAGTTTGAAAATGTATTAATTAATTAAAAATTGTAACAGCAACAATTTTGATAATGGCTTTGGAAAAAATGCCAGAAATGTGTTTTTTTCTAGCCTCTAAAATGCAAGAAATGCATTGTGTGGTCTTCTATCATAGTTAATTGAATATCTTTGGGTTTAGAACTGTGTTCAGGCAATAAAAGCAAGATCAACAGATTTCTCACATTTTGTAGACCAACGATTCAATGAATAATCAATGAACTATCTAGCAGACGGATTTAAGAAAATAATCTTAAGTTGTAGCTCTAAAATGACGTCATCAATATCTCTCCTGATCTGCAATAGCCTGCAGACTTTACAAATACAACAGTAGTCCCTCCATCCCACATTTTAACATCACACACCCTCATATCTGTGCGGGTAATGAAGCCTTTGCCCTCCACATCGCAGGTGCGGAAGAACTCCTTGGTCTTTTCCAGCAGGGCGATTCGACCCCAGTCTGAGCCCCTCCTCCCTGGGCTCAGTCCAAAGCCGTTCACCCTGCCTTCCTCCTCCATGTCTGGGACTCTTTTTAAGGGACACTCGTGCAGCGCGGTGTGTAAGTAGCATGTATTTCTGCAGCAGTCAGGAGTGGAGATCAGACTTCAGTCCTTCTCACTGGCCCTGCAGCCAAGAGCTCTGGGGCTCTTACAGTCACCATGACGACAAAGACAGGAAGTAGCATCAGATGATGAGATCGCTGATAACATACATATACTCAAAACTGGTTGCAGGGTCCTGCAATAGAAATAATACAAATACAGTCTTATTAAAGCATTGGGAAAGGTGACATTTTTGAGAAAACAAGTGGGAAAATGTTGTTACATAAGCCATCAGAACATTAATGCAAACAGTACCACACTTGTTACAACTATAAAGTACTTCCCCTTTCTAATAAGCCAGGAACAAGCAACTCACAAAGGTATGTAAACACAGTGTGAAAGATTATCTTAATACCCCGCCATACAGAACACATGACAGTATAATGCCTACAAGACTGCAAGAGCCCGTAATGTATCCCCCCTCTGCACTTTTTCACAGCTGTTTCTCGCTTTCAGTAAGACTTCATGACTTGAACAAGGTTCAGAAGTACTGTATTGTTTGCACTGTTAAGAGCTGAGATGAAGCCAGAGAGCAGAAAGTGAAATATGAGCGGCAGATAGCCCGATATTTTAAAGTCAAGATGTGTCAACTAACCTCTTGAGATGGAAAGGTTTGGTTTATACGTCACTGGGTTTCAGCTAAGACAAAATTAAATGTTCAAAAGCTGAAAATTGGACATTAGATGTATTAAACTCATTTTAGTATCCTCAAACTACTGTTTGAACACAAAGGAACCCCCTTTATCTACAGGCCCCAATTATGTTCCCCCAAACTGTCAAAAACTGTTACACTAAGGTAAGAAAAGCTTTGGGTCTTTCTTTACAACAAATTCAAACCCTCCATTCTCTCCTTCTTTGCAGTGAACTACAACTCCCTTCTTTAAATAAACCAGAAACCGGAGGAAAGCTCTTACCTCTCACAAATGATACGCACAGGAAAGTGAAGCCTTTTTCCGCTCCAAGTATCAACAGAGCGGTGACCGCGCGCTGTGTTTAGGAAGTCTTGCCTCACAGATGAATGTCAGAGAAGTCATTCTGCAACCATGTGATGTCATGAGGAAGCGGCCTGAGGGTTTGCAGCCTGCGCCCTGACGCTGCTCCCCGCTCTGAGTGAGGGAGGGTTGCAGGGTGAACTCTCTTTGTGCGGGATTATAGTATGCAGCATTTACATCTCCATGGCAACAGCAGCCCCTAGACCACTAGTATATTGAGTGTTAATGTGTCATTGACTGTTTTATTATTCTGCTTTGTATTATTGTTTAATCAGCTGATTAAATGATTTTAAAGAGTTAATAAAAGAAACGAAATATTTATTTTAATTGATAATTACAAATTATTCCCTGAGAAGGCAATTAGCTACACCTGGGATTTGTTGGTCTTTGGAAAAAACAGCACTTTACAGGAAACTCACTCAACATTTATTGATTAAAAGCTGTCTTACATGAGCAAGTTTGCCATCTCTTCATATCTTACAATGCCCTCTTGTGGTCTGAGATTAAAATGGGCCACAGTTTTAGGTTTTCAGGGAGAAAAAACTGAAAAAAAAAACCCACGAAGAACAACTGAAAAGAGTGTTTTTTGTGTGAAAAGCACAGTCCTGATTGTCCTCAGGTAATCATTTAAAACAAAAACAAAACACATACAGGCAAGTATGTGTCATATACAGGCAAGGTCCAAACTTTTCCCCACGCAATTCTCCAGTATCAACTCTGACTTAAGAGTCATTTTCCAGTTCCTTGGATCTTTTGAAGCAAATACTCCATTTGGAGGTTCAGATTGGGCTGTCCTCTCTTGGTCTTTTTGCTCAGCATCTGAAACGTCTCCATCTTTTTCTGTTTGTACTTCTGAATGGCTTCTTCTCTTTGCTGCTTGTTCTTCAGGTACTCCTGGGATTGAACCAAAATAAACACAAAAAAAGAACAAGACAACCTGTCAGCAGAAAGTCAGCAATTTGATTATTTGAAGTCACAAAAAACTAAATCTGAGACCTCATGTTTCCAGGGTTCAGGTTAACAATAAGGAGAAAAACATCACCTCTTTCTTCTTTCTCTGCTTTTCTTTAGTTGACTCAAATTCCTCTTTTGTCTTCTGGTAGGATGTCTTCTTCAGCATTTTCTTCCTCATGCGGTTGCTCATTGGAATACTGAAAGAGAATATTATAAAGGCGCTGTTAATCTGTGCTTCCCAATCGGCTTAAAAAATGAACAGTACAAGAATTAAACAAACACCAAACCACACTCAGGCAATTTGCCTGTTTCAGCTTTAACTGACAGATTTCTATCTGTAGATTGCAAACATTTAGAGTGCTCTTATAAGTGTCTAATAAACTGAAAAATAAAAAATGTGTTGTCATCAAGCTTTATCTGCGGTTCCTCAAAACAAAAACTTCAAACAAACAGCTTCATCTAAAGCCATGAAAGGGTTTACACATTTTTTTCCCCATGTGCAGTTGTACTTTTACTTTAAAGGAGAACTCCTTTGAGTTTTTACACATCACTCAGACTCAGAGAACTTAAACCTTTGAAGTCACAAGCACTGAAAGTCTACTGAAATTAGTTCAAACTAGGTTTTGCAACTCCCATTTGCAATATTTCTCCACGTTTTAATTTACAATATTAGGAACTTTATCTTTATCAGTTTTAAGTAGTAATTTATTCTCCATTTCTTTATATGATTACGCAGACCACTTAAGTTACTTCAGGCTAACGGTCAGAGCTGCAAGTCCAGCTGTTTTCCTACCTTTCTTTCTCAGAGGCTGCTGTCTGTTCAGGGTTCCCAGCAGTAGAATCGGTCTGCTCAGATCCACCAGTAACTTCTGGATCCGGATCAGCAGCTTCGCTCTGGCGTGGATCAGCTTCATTTTCATCTATCTTTTCTCCCTTATCCTGCTCTTTGATTCTCATCTTACTCCTGTTCATTCTATGCGTCCAGGCCTCGTTCTTCAGTTTCTCTGCCTCGGCCATGTACAGATGCCTGAGGTGTTCTGGGTACTCCTCCTTGTACAGCTGTTTGGACTCAGGAGTCGTCCTCTTCTTCTTCTCCTTCCGCAGCAGCTTGTTGTACTCATGTTGGACTTTTTGCTTCCTCTTTAAAGCAAACCCTTGCCCTGAAGACACAAGACAAAGGCATATAATGGAATATTAATTTGATACTATATTTAAATAGAGGGTTGCTTGGTGGACCACTACATGCCGAATTTATTATTTGACCCATATATGTTGTAAAATACATTAAAACACGTTTTAGCCTGGATCAGAGTTCGTCAAACAGAAATACCAGTTTAAATTGAGAGATTTCTTAATTGAGTTTGGCGTCATGTTTATGCAGAGATAAAAAGTACATAGATAAGCTGTGCCCTATTTGTGTGTCTCTTTCTAAATACAGCTGAATTAACCAAACTGCCATTCATTATCTAACTACTGTTGTAATTTACCTTCTTTAACATTTCCCTCGAATACTTTGTTATCGGGGGTCCATTTCCTCTTCTTCTTGACACCCTGTAAGTTGGGTTTGGATTTTTTCCAGTTGCCATCTTTGGCTGTAAACGTCTTATTCTTCATTTTGTGATCTGTCGGTGCCATTTGAGCTCAGATTTGAACAGGGAAAGTGAAATGTTTACAACACTCATGCGGGATTGAGCCAGCGTGCCATTTCCTTACAGACGCGTGGTGATGAGGTACCCAAGGCAGACGTGAACAATCGATTACGGAGAATTCAGTCTCGAAAAAAATATATTTTAATTTACGAGTCCGTTCATTTAACTACACGACATTTGTAAATTCACTCCACTGTGGATAATTGTACACATTAACGTTGACGTATGTTTTATTTAAAAAAAAATAAGCGTCGCGTATCGCCAAATCCTCACAGTGTTTTCGACTGCTAATGCCTGGGCGTGCAGCAGCAGTGGACGGCTTCATACATGCTCCACTCAGTTCCTCTCTAGAGCTTTTTTTAAGATGTTATCCTCCTCGGGCAGCCTCGCAGAAATTCAACGACGGATAGATGAAGTCAAGCGCTTTCTGTCCATAACCCTGACGGTCGCCAATGCTCACACGGTGGAGTTTTACACTCACGACGTGTGGAACCGGTTCATGGCCGTGCCACCTCAAGAGGTGCTGACAGCTGTTAGTTCGTGTGGTGACCAGCAGGGGGCGCAAGAAGCCAAAGCAAAAGGTAAATACATTGAGTCCTGGAGAATGTTAACTATAGCTTTGGGGGTCCCACTTTGTAGTAAAGCACACTGTGTAAGGGTTTTATGAGTTGTTTTGAGCAGCTTTATTAATGGTTGAGAAATTATTTATTCATGCTTTGATTTGAATTGAGAATTTTATTTCGAACATGTAAATGCCAACAAAAACACAAAAAATTAGATAAAATAAAAGTGAAATGAAGAGAAAAATGAGAAGAAAAAGCCAAGAGAAAAAAAGAAAAGAAAAGAAAACGAGACAGGTCAAACCTGTACATGCAACAGCTCAGTTTGTTAATGTCCCTTAACAAATTAAATTGAATCATACCATGTTCAAAAGGGAGTAGGAAGAAGTGTACACTTAATAAATTCCTACCCCTTCTCCTCTGCTTATTAAATTATTATTAATATATTACTGATATATTTAATTTACAGACTATCTTTATATATTCTTTTTGGATATAATATCTTTACATATACATAATTTCTCATTTCTACATATTCATATACATACATACATACATACATACATACATACATACATTACATACATACATACATACTTGCTTTCTAGATGAGGTTGTGAATGTATGGACAAAATCCATGTATTTATAAGAATTTATGAATGCATCACCAACATTTATTATTGCATTACCACCAAATGGAAATTAAACCACAAGCCAAAGGTATGTTTTAGAATTTGGCAACCTAAAAGTTAATTCAATTAATTTTCTTAGATATTTTAAGGCATTTCTTAAAAATATATGATCATTACATTAGTGCACTCTTGTTTTCTGTACAGTTTTCTTATCTTTTCTTATCTTTCTTATCTTTATTTATGTTTTGAAAGTATTTTTTTCTTGTATGATTTTTGTGTGATTTGTATATTTTATGCACCAATGCACCAAGACAAATTCCTCGTATGTGTAAAAACCTACCTGGCAATAAACCAAATTCTGATTCTGATTCTGAATCTGAACTTTGTTTCACAAATTATGAAAAGAACTAGCCATGCATATACATCTTTTTAATATTTGGCACATTTATTTCCCCTGCTACTGTTCCTCAAGGACCTGAAGAAAACAGACTTATCCATCCATCTCTATACTTAAACTGTAATTGCTGAAAGAATGCAGCATTTAACTAAATCTGAATGGCTGCATAAGGGCTACGCGAGACAATCCAATAGTTTTGTTTTGTTATTTAAGTGATTTCCTTTGCAGATTTAAAATCATCTCAATTTGAATGAGTACTTAAAGTTGTAGTATTAAACACACACACTGAAGTAAATATAAATAAATTAACTTGAAAAGCCTGACGTTCACCATTATTTCTCTGTCTGTCTCCTTAAACAGAGCAATCCAGGACCACATTTGGGTTTTGCAATGACACAAACCGGCTGGTTGATACCCATGAACTGCTGCAGGCGGCCAAGGCCCACTCTATCCCTGGCCTTGGAGTCTGTATGAGCAGGGATGAGCTCCTGCAGGCCCTCAGAGAGAAGGGGGAAGACACAGGTAGGGAAGACTGGAAGGTCTGAACGCATTGTTTCGTGCTGAGAGCAGGAAACCTGTCAAGAATTGTCCGTATGACATGCTTTTTTTTGATTGGTCTAACTTAGGTGCTGCGCTGGAGCCGGATGAGTTTATGAACTCTAAGAAATCTCATGAGGTCCAGTCAATGTCCGAGGTGGTGGCATGTCTGGCCCAGCGCTGTGGAGTCAAACAGGTAGAGTAACAGTAGAGACTTGCTAGAACCACCAAGTTTTATCTTATTAACACGCTTTTGGATTTGATTTTTCCCTTCCATCTTTTTTTTTTAACCCACCCAGGTGATAGATGTGGGCTCAGGGAAGGGCTACCTGAGCTCCTTCCTGTCTCTGCAGTACGGCCTCCGGGTCTACGGCATCGACTCCTCCAGCACCAACACCCACGGAGCTCAGGAGAGGAACAGGAAGCTGAAAAAATTCTCCAGGGCGTACCAGAAACACAGCAAGGCAGCTCGGGCACAGGGCGAGGCTACACATTCACCTCAGGAAGAGTTAGTAGAAATCAAGCCTGGGATGAATGGAGACAGTGATGCTTCCTACAGTGATGGGGCAGGAGTTGTAACGCAGGAGGAGAAGGTGTTAATCAGCTTATCAGATGTCAACCCTGCGGTGGAAAGGCACCCAGAGCCAAACTCCCAAACAGAGGAGCTCTTTCTTAATGCCCTATCAGTGGACGAGATACAGACTGCATCCCCCAGAGTCCCCCCCTGCCAGCTGAGTGCCGAGGAGAGAGAGAGGAGGAAGAGGGAGAACCTGGAGAGGAAAGCTCGGAACAGAACCGACGGCGCCGGCACCGTGTTTTCGCCCCTCACGTCTTACGTCACGGCGGAAACGGAGCTGCGAGAGCTCATCAACGAGCTGGAGGTGGGCAAAAACCACAAAGTCAGTAAACGTTGAAAATAGATTTATGGCGTGTTGGGGCAGCCGTGGTGGTGCAGAAAGGAGGCCAGCCGCACAGTTTAGTAGCAAAGCACGATTCCCACAGCAGCTCCTGAAATTACAAGCCTGTCACGGCGGCTGGAGTTCGCATTACTGGAGCGAAGTGCGGGATGTTACCGCCGTGCCAAAGCTGCAGCGCGTCGTCGTCAATAAATTTTACCATCGATCTCCAACCCTCTCCCTCTCCTTCTTCTGCTTTTCTCTCTCTCCTTTCTCTGCATGCTTTCTCCGAATTCCAGGACGCGGTCGTGGTCGGCCTGCATACGTGTGGCGACTTGGCTCCCAGCACCCTGAGGATGTTTGTGGCTAAAGCGGAGCTGGCCGCAGTCTGCAGCGTGGGCTGCTGCTATCACCTGCTGTCTGAGGAGTTTGACCCTGCCGGACAGGGTAACCACACACACACACACACACACACACACATACACTCCACCCAGTTTTAGGAACATGTGGTTTCCATTGTACACAGAGCTCACAGTCTATGTCTCTTATTTCTGACTCTCTCCTTCTCTTCACTCACACACGTCCCATAATCCCACCTCAGACACCTGCAGCGTTCACTTTTTCACTCTGATCCACATGGAGCCACATAAACACTTATATTCATATTTGATAGTAAACAAGTCAAATATTCCACTGAGAGTCTGGAGAGCTCAGCCAAGTCCCCCTCCTGGAGTTTGAGTTGAGCTCTGTTTGAGCCATTAGACTGGATTTATGGATTTAGGATGGCCACTGAAAATGCGATTTCTTTGACCTTTTAATTTAGCAGGGAACCATTTAGAGGAGATTGATTCTGCAACTAGTGTGTAGTATTTAATCTTGGTTTAGCAGGACTGTTGTTTAGTTACCCTGGTCTTCCACCCTGAGGAGACTGCATGCCATCCTCCGCTTCACCTCGGAGCTTAATTCAGGTGCCAAAATGCAGCAGAATAGATTGATATCATCCTCGTCTCATGCTCTCTCACAGCTCAGTTTATGAGGTATGAAATCGTCTACATGTGTCCTCATGCTGTGACTGCAGCCTCTGCTCTCTCCATAAGACAGAGCCCTCGCTACAGTCGACACAATGTCGCGTCATCTCTTGTTAACAGAGCGACCTCCGACCCTCGCGTCATCGGGGGCGCCGTCGACGCTTCAGCCAAGAGCGGGAAATGATATCACGACAGATGATTGAAAACACTCCTTTCCATGCCTGTTTCTCAAACTCCAGCTCGATCTTTTAAAGAAATGAACAAAGGCGCACACGCACACACGCGTGCGCTTTCTCTCCCCTGTTGGCCTTACAGCGCAGTCTGGGATCCGGGCCAGCTCCTGTGGTGGCCTACCTCACCCTAAAAAGGAGCTAAAGAGCTGAAAAGCTTCATTATGAAAGGCAGTTGTACATTTATGTGATCCGCTTATTTAGGGGTGAAGCAATTAAATGCACCATCCATGTTTGGTACCGTATGTGGGATCGGGAGTCCAATCTCATGCTGTTTACTCACAACAACAACTGCTGTAAGATGAGTACATTCAGCCGTCTAAGGTCTGGAGCCAGCGTGTCTCCTCACCAAGTATTTTCAAGTGTGCGATCACACACATCAGAAATATTTGTCTTTGTAAATGGCAGCACATGTACGTGACCACTTCAGATGTGAACTCTGCGGCCAGCGTGAGGATGGCTGCTATAAACAGCTCTGTGTACGGCTTGTCCACTCCGAGGGCCTCTGTCAACAAGCCATGTGCCGGGCAGATGCTAACCTGACTGCTAACCTGTTAGCGTGTCCGGAGCAGTTTGTGCGAGCCCCAGCCGGTCGCAGCTGCTCATGTTATTACTGCTTCTTTTGACTGTATCCCTCTGGATCCACGCGGCCTTGGCCTCAGTCACTGACCCTTTTAGAAATGACATGAAAAGGATGGCAGGCTGTCAAGCAGTCACACTCAGTACCCTCCCACTGGGAATCTGTGTGCGTGCTAAGCTCTGTGTGGCGCTTATTGTACAGCAATTCTGACTTTTTAAGGCAAAATACATCCTTTATTTAATTCTTTTATTAATAGACTTCCTTTAAAG